CCATCCATCCATCCATCCATCCATCCATCCATCCACTCATCCATCTATTTATCCATTTGTCCATTCATTTATCATTTTAACCATAAATCTTATTTTGTCTTATCCTATCTCATTTTATCTGTATCCTATTTTTCTATTGATCCCATTTATCTTTCTCCCAGCCACTCATTTATCAATTTATGCATTCATTTGTTCGTTTGTTCGCTTGTTAGTTTGTTTATTCATCTTATTTATTCATTATATATTATACCCAACCTCATCCATCCAATTCTCACATTCATTCATTTATTTTATTCATCCATTCCATTTTTTCTCTTTAAGGTGTGGGATGCATGTGGTGATGGCCATATAGCTTTTGATACCTCACAAGATGTCAGCAGTAAGACTGAAATGGCATACATCATAGAAAACTCTGTGATTACTGCTGCTCTTGATAAACAATTGAAACAGTTAGATCAGAATGTAGAGGTTAAATATAATGCAAGAATAAAGAATGTCATTCCACCTGATCCTGTTTGGAGTATGGTTAGTAAGAACTCATTTATAGTAGAGCAGTTTTCGTTTGACTGTGAAAAGCTCAGTTCTGTAAGTGTGACGTGCCGTGACCATGATGCTTTCTACAATTTTAATTGGCTAATTTTTTCACACGCAATATGATTGGTCTTGCATTGCTGTGGCCTTGGCGTGACCGTGTCTGTGCCGTGTTTATGCTGTGTTCCGGGTATTTGATTGGATGGAGAGTAAATTCTTGTGCAGTGTGTTTGGTCTGGCGTATCCCTTGCCGTGTCACGACTGTGTTCGTGCAGTGAACTTTTCACAGTCATACGAAAACTGCACTAACAGCAAAAGCAATGGGGATGCTGAGGATGGTAATGATGATAATGATTTAGGAAAATCAAAAATTATGTTAGGATGGTGGCAGAGTTGCTGATGTTGATTAATAATGTTGATAATGACAAAGTTGACATCCATCTATTGAGAAGCAAGGGTGGCATAGCGGTGAGAGTGCTCGCCTCTCACCAAAGCGACCCGAGTTTGAGTCCTGACGAGCTCGGTGCTGTATGTGAGTGGAGCTGTTTATTGGTTCTCTCCTGTGCTTCAAGGGTTTTCCGGGTTCTCCGGCTTTCCTTCCTCTGCAAAAATCAACTTCTAAATTCCTACTGGAATTACAGTGGATGAATAGCCAAATCCCTATTATGCTAAATCCCATTTATTTATTTATTTATTTATTGATGATGATGACAATATTGATAATGACGATGATGATGATGATGAAAAATAGATGAGGATGATTATCAAACAAAAGTGAGGATCTTGGTGACAGAGTTGCTAATGTGATTAGTGATGATGATAGTGATGAAAGTATGATAAAAATTATGATGATGATGAAGTATGATAATGATGTTCAAAGGTGATGATGACAATTGATAATGGGCTTTAAGTTTTATTGCATTGGTTTCAGGACAAACCAGAACATAATCCATGGGCAGGAGTCGAGCTGGACGATGGATCTGTCATTTATTCCAGACTACTGGTAAGCAAACAGACTGTGTAACAACTGTCACATGCATAAATTTTGAATGTGCCTAAAAAAGTTACAAGGTATTTATTTATTAGGGAATGCAGGGGGGGGGGGGGTCGTCACAATTTTAGGAGTTATCTTACTTTGAGTAGCTCAGTGGTATAGTAGGGTTGCCAGGGCAGTGCATGGGTAGCTTATATTTTATTTATAATGCTATTTATAAAGCAAATCTGACATAAGGAACATGGTGCATTGTGGTCTTGCTTGGGTACAAACATCTCTTGTTCATCATACATTTGTTAAATGATGTTGTTAGTACCCCAGCTAGACCACAATGCATCATGTTTATCAAACCCAGAAAAGCTGTATAAAGTTAATGTTATGAATACTGGTGTACAGGTTGGTGCAGATGGTGTTCGCTCAACAGTGAGAGGAGTAATGGACACAAAGTATTTGACTTGGAGTTATGGACAGTTTGGTGTTGTGGCTACTTTGGAACTTGGCGAGGTGAGTGTTTGAAGTCATTTTTAAATCTGTATTTATTTTTTAAAGAAATATAAGATGGTTAAGTAATGATAATGACAATGACAATATTTATTAGGTAGTATATAGATTAAAAAGTTGATTTACATAAATTAAAATTATCTTAAATTAGTATGTAAGTGGTTGACTGGCTGGCTGGCTGGCTAAATGGCTGGTTGGTTGGTTGGCGTTGGATAGGTTGTCTCTTCGTTGTTTGCACAATGACGTTTTTTTTGTATTCTAGATAACAGAAAATATTGTTGCTTGGCAAAAGTTTTTACCAACAGGACCAATGGCATTATTACCTGTAAGTGCTATCTATGTTTTATGATTGAGTTTTGATTCAGTATTTTCCTTCATACCTTCCATCCTTCCTTCCTTCCATCCATCCATCCTTCCTTCCTTCCTTCCTTCCTCCCTTCCTTCCTTCCTTCCTTCCTTCCTTCC